GCATTTGCCTTTCAAAGGAGCCACATTTCGTAGCCATCTTTCTCAAGGAAAGGAGCAGTGCCCAGGGTAGAGGAGTGGCGTGAAGGATGGCCATCTCTTCCCTGCCCCAGTTCTGGCACTTTTCCTCTCAAATTGGAGGAGAGCAGCTGATGTCCAGATTGGCTTTCCTGGGACTTCCAGCCTGCTGGGTGGCTGAATCTATCGCCCCAACCCAGAAGCGTGTCATGGACGCCTTCATGGCTGGATTATCCTCCCAACCGCCGCCACTCAGTGGCTCAGCCCTTTGGAGTTTCACCCTCCGAAGCTGAGGTCCGCCTGCTCTCAATCTAGCTATGGAGACTGGGAAATCTCTGTAGCAAGATGGTAGGAGGTTCTTTGGAGGCAGTCGCGTCCCTCTTGGGTCTCCCAGGTTGAGCACTTAGACCATTGGCCTGGAGACACTGTTCGCTTTCTCGGTGCCGCGGAGTAGGTGGTTCTGGGGGGAAATGGTGTTGTCTGTGCTAAGACTTGGGCATCTGGGATGAGGAGAGGTGTTGCCGCCATGATGGAGAGACAGTGGCGGGAGCTTGACTGCAAGAACAGGGGAAGGAGAGTTGGGCCGTTGAAGGCCTTCCATCAGAAAGGCTGAGGAGCAAGGAAAGCCTTCAAGAGCTACCAAAGGATCGTGAGATGGCAACGGCCAGCAGAACTTGCTTCTGTCTTGCCTCTCCCGAGAGCTGGGACTCCATGGGAGAAGCACGAACTGGGTCAAGATCTCAGCACCAGGCTGGGGAGACCCGCCTAGCCAGATCTGTCCTAATGGCCAGAGGTTGTGTACACATGTAGCTTTAGAATCAGGTCATAATGAAGAAAAGAGTGCCTTTGTGTGTGTGTGGAGCATGTTTTCACGAATGCAAAATCCCGGCACAGACTTCTACTCCGCCTGGTGCAAGGAGGTGTGTGTCTAGCTTAGTAAGTAAGACCTAACAGGTTGCGTATGTGTCAAAGAATCTTCCTCTTTGGAAACCAACAATTGGCCTTGATTCTCACACTCGGTTTCCATCCGTAGCCTGCCTCGAGCACGAGGGTGTTATTTTCCCAACAACAATGCTCAAAAACAGCAATGATGCATTTGGCATCAACGGCCCATGGAGCGAAATCCAGCAGCCTATTTCACTAATTCCCTGGAGCCGCGTTCATTCCCAGCTTCATTATTTAAATGTTCAGGCATTGGGGAATAATGGCTGTTTGGAATAACGGTTCCTTTGGAGGGGCAACAATGAAACCTCTCTGCGGCGAATTGGCAGCGTCCACATTAGCACCCAAGTCCCCACACGAGGCTCCCATTTGGGTGTTCCATTGCCCAGTGGCCCCTCCACAGCATGGGGGGGCCACGGCTTAGCCATTGTCGCTCCGTTTCCAGCTACCGTGGGCTACATTTCGCGAGCTAACGATGCATGTGCCAAGGGAATACAGGTGCAATTCAATTGCGCATGCCATAATGTTACGTCTGACCCATTGAGTGTGATTAAATGGGTTTCACTTGGCTACGACGCCAGCATTAGAAACACTTTCATACTTTACAAACCACAACATTCAATTATGGGAACGGAAGCAGGAGATGAATAAACATCATATTTCCGTGCGTTTTTGAGTTTAATTGTATCGAATTATCCAATTGGTTCCTCCAATAAACAAAGCGCAGCTGATGATCAACAGGTTTTTTATTTCTTTTGAGCATTCCAGTTATTGTTTTAAACCTCTCCATTTATTTAAAATGCTTCAGATTGCAAACGCAATTGCTCTGCTCCCTGTTTATTGCTCTTCTCTGGAAATCGGGAGCTTCGGGCGCTTTGACAAATGGAGTAAAAAGGTTATCTCATTTGGCTGTCACTCCTGCCACTGCACTCGCTGCAGAAAATTCTTGTTGCGAGCTTTAAAAGCCTGGAATTGGACCGGGTATTATTTTAATCACACAGAGGAAGTTGAAGAGGTGGCAGGAGAACACAACGCACAACAGATATTTGAAATTTGTAAGTACCGAGGAAAGAAGGGCAAAGAACTGGCAGGGATTGGTTTTCAGCCAGCCGTAACTCGGAAACGTGTGCCAAAAGATGGGCGCAAGGATTTCAGAGGAACGGAGTGGACCGGAGCACGTCGGGATCCTGTGGCAGAGTTCCTGTGTGCAGGATCCTGAGGGTTGGGGTCTGAAGTCCTGCAATGGAAAGCCAGCACATTGAGGGGAAAGGTCCTCCTTTCGCCTCCTTCCCTTCTCTGCTAGCATACTATGCTCAGGACTCCCATGCAGGGGGATAATCAAACATAAAATGCTCCAGCCACCACCTGAAGGGAAGCGCTGTGTGTACCACCCGGCCATTCTTCTGCCCATGCCTGGCGGTTTCGCAGGCACAACATCGGCGGGTGTGTGGTGTGGGCACAAACAGCAGTGTAACCTGGAAGTGTGGCAAATGGCCCAGGGAACAACAGTTTGGCCGAGGAGGTAATGCCAGCGTGGCGTTTCTTGCTGCCGTACGTTTGGGCCTGCCTGCTTTTCCTCTAGTAAGGAAGACAAGGAAGCTTACATCATCCCTTGGCTCATCTTCATTTTATCCTCACCGCAACAACCCTGTGAGGTAGGCTGTGCTGAGAGTCCGTGACTGGCCCAAAGTGATCCGGTGGCTTTCATGCGTCCCACCCCAACGTTCTAACCATGCTGGATCTCAGTAATACGAATAGGTTGTCGTAACCTGCCCAGGGAGCCGTGTGTCTAAATGGGGCAGGCTAGGAATCCAATAAATAATAATGATAGTTGTAACAACAGCAACAGGGCTTGCCTCTTGCAGAACTCCAGGGGCTTTGATTCTATCCATATATAAATTAATTGGGAAAAAAACCCTTTGATTTGGGAGCAGCATTAAGGCACTCAAAAATCCATTTGGGGCACAGTGGCTACAAGAACTCTCAGAAGGTTACAGGGCAAGAGGAAGAGGAAGAGGAAGGTGGTGGTGGTGGCTGCAGGTGGGAGAAGTGCGGAGGCAAAGTTCACCTCCAAGCTTCTGCAAAGCAAGCAGACGACCATTTCTGACTTTCCAACTGCAGAGCTCCAGAGCAGGAGAGATGGAAGCCAAGATGCCACCGGGATGCCTCATTTCATGCCAGTATCACTGGGTCTTCACTCCCCCAAAGCCCCGAAACCTCTCCTCTGAGGTCACTCCTGCAATCGCAGAGAAGCAAACAGACTTGCTCTTCCAGGGGGACTGCAAGCGCCCCTCTGGCCCGCCAACACTTCTGTGGGCCATAAGACTGCAGTGTCATTGACTTCAAAGCAGCTGGTGTTAATTTTTGCATAATTTTTACAGGCAATACCTCCCCACTACCCTCCCGCAGCACATGCCTTCTAGATGGGCGGGACTCCAACCCCCATCATTTGCGGCTAGCACCCGACCAGGGAAGGCTGCCTTGCCATCAAGCCAAGGGGTGCCCAGGGGCCGGCTGAAACCTGTTCCCAGCTCAGGAAGAAAGCACCCAGGAGCACTGGGCTGCAAAGAGCCACCCCTCCCCTCCCCTACTTCTGAAGGGGCACGGAGGCAGGGCTGCTTCCCAGGTGCAGCGAGCGGCATGTGGGGACCAGGAGCAGCCATAGGATGCACAAGGGGGTGCAGCCTTCAGAGCCAGGGGGTTCCAGTTAAAGAAACACCTGCAGATTTCTTTCTTTCATATTTTTAAACCAGCTGCCTGCTGCTTGGTGTCCTACAATCTCTAAGAAGTTTGCCTTAAAAGTAAACAGATATAAAAATATAATAATAGTAAAGCAGGCAATATAACAAAGCAGGCAAAACAATGCAAAAGGACAAATGCACTGGAAGCATTGAAGCTCAGAGGGAGCAGCACACCTGCTTTGGGCTGAGCCCGAATGAGCAGGTGAGTCTTCAAGAGGCTCTGAAGTTTGTCACAGTGCCTGCTCCTCAAACCGCATGTGGGGAGCCTTCCAGAAAGCATGCAGAGAAGGCAGTGGAACTGGCAGAGTCGAGCAACATATGCACTCTGGGTTTCACTCTGAGCTTCTATGGGGCCATCTATGGTGCAGAACCCTATCCCTTGGATAGATAGCCACTCCATGGAGAGCTGCTTAAAGTGCCAGTTGAAGCCCACCCAACTCACCTTGTGCTCCCAGAACCTGGTGGAGACCCTCTAGATGGCAGTTAGCAAGACATCCCGCTCTTGAGTTGTACTCAACCGATTCCACACATTGCCCAAGTCTTCCTCTGCCTTTGCCCATCATCACGGCCTCCACCACCATGCTGGGCACCGAGCTGGAAAGTGAGATGAAGACTAGAAGGCCAGGATGGGCGCTGAGAGCGAAAGCAAGCCTACAGTCTCCGTTCCTTCAGCTTGTTTGCGCCCTGCCTTTCCCACCACAAGGAGACCGCAAGGGGCCACCTAACCCCACTGAGCACAGCCAGATGCAACCCTCAGGAAAGAGAAGCCTTGCGAAAAAGTTAGGAAAAAGCTTTACTCCCACAAACCTTTCAACTTCCATGCTAACATGAATCTTTTAATCAAGAACATATGCATGTTTTCCATAACTTTGTTCACCAAGAAAGGTTAAGTTATACAACCAGATACACACCAATAAATTATAGAGTTATTTTTACTGTTTGTGCAGTGTGGCAGTTGCTCCAGATCTCTGGGAATTTAGTCAAATCCTTCGCTGGGTTCTGAGGCTTATATTGTAATTCTCTTCGTGTTTACTCAGAATTACATCTCACCGAGTTTAACGAGACTTACTTCGTTGTAAATGTGAATGGAGCAGAAGCCTTGCAATGCAATCATATACTCAAATACCTGGAAGTTAGCCCTGTTGCTCTCAGTGGGAATTACTTCTGAGTAGACCCAGGTATGATGGTGTCCTTAATCTATTTCTGGTAGATTTGCATAGGCATGTAGCAAGAACACACGCTGCTCTTGAAAATGGGAGCTGAGACTCTCAAGTGGTCGGACTCAACATCCACCAATGTAAACCTATTTATAAATGCATGTATTTATTTAGGAAAAAAACCAAACGCCATTTTGCACATAAAAGCTCTCCAGGTGGTCTGCAGAGGAAAATCAGGCAAACATTAAAACATTTTCCAGCATCCCGATTCTAAAGTTTCTGCTGCAAATTTCTTCCATGCCTGCACTCTTTGAAGGTTGGGATGCTCAAGGAATTCATCCTTTGCAAATTCCAATCCAAACTGCCTTGCTCTGTCTATCGGAATCCTTTGGAATCCAGAATTGACGTTCTCAATACTGTTCTCTGAATTTTGCAATCCATTTCTGCCTTCAAACAAAACAAAACTGAACAATCGAAAAAGTATGTTAGAGACACATAGCTTCAGAGTAAATAGATTTAGACAGACATATTTTGTCTTTGCCCATTTTGTGAAAAAGCTCCTTTGGAAATACGTATTTGACTGTGTATTTGAATATGACCTTTCATGCAGGTTTTTTTCGATATAGATTAATGTAGCAATGGGAAGGCATGGATCTTTAGAAAAATGTGCTAAACTGACACAGACCTGAGGCTGCACTGGGTAGATGGAAAGTCTGCATTTCAGCTGAATGGGGAGTACTCCCTCCCCACCCATTCCCCCCACGGGAGGCCCCGAAAAGCTACATAGAGAGGTGGAGGTCTAAATCATAGCCAGAGCTGCCGCGAGGAGGATTCCTCAGAGTGGGCTGAGGGACCGTCGGCAGGTGTAATGCTCTCCTTTGGGAAAGTTTCCTGCCTCTCAGGATCTAGGTCCAACCCAAGGACAGCATCTTCAGGCTTCCGAAGCTCCCAGTGGGAAAGGCTCTTGGAGGCATGGCAAGGAGCCATCCTCCTGCCTGTTCTTCCAGTGGTTGATGTGTCCTGGCTGGGTTTATATCAGCCGAAAGGTTACGCACTTTGTCCTTAAGTCGCAAGCCCCCAGCCCGGTTGACCCAAGACTTCAGCGTCTGAAGGGGACAGAAGGTCTTCCAGGGCTCAAACAACTGGAGGAAAAGATTGATGAGATCCAAAAACTCCGAGCTGGACCACCTCCACTCAGTTTTACCAAGACTCTTCCCTGCAGCTCTATAAAACGGCATTGGGGTGGCATCACAGAGAGCCAAGAGACCCCAGAGCACCTCCGGTCCCGGGCCCAGGTATGTCTGGGCATCAAACGCCCCCCCCCCTCACCTCGCCTCTTTACCTGGCCCAGGGAAGCTCTGAATCGGACCCGAGTTTCTAAGTGCACCAGGCCACATCCTCTCCGTGGCTTCTCCTCGGCAGCAAGAGGGGATTTATTTATTTTATTTTATTTTTTAAAAAAGAAAACTATATATCTGGCTGCCTATTAATTTAAATCTAGAGCCAGGAAGAAGTCAACGAGCTGTAATTTATGACCTGTCGAGGTCTGAAAAATTCCTTTTGACACCGTATTTTCAGTTATTACATGCTCTCCTGCGGGGCGACAGCGTAATTCTGTAGGGAGCCTTCCCGAGAAGTCTGCACAGGCAAAGGGCAGCCGGGGCTTTCTTATTATCTGCTCACTTCCCTCCCCCCCCCGCACCCCCTGCCAGGCCTTTCAATCAGGCCGCCATCCCAGCCCCCTCCCTCCGCTCCTTTTCTCCTCCCAAGCTGATCCAGGGGGGAGTGCGGGGGGGGGAGGTCCCCCCACGTTTGCTGAAGGACCGAAACTGCAGGATGTCCCGCCGCTGGGGAGGGGGCTACCCCCAAGCTGCAGGACGTCCCGTTTTACTGGGGGACCCACCGCCACCAGGCGCTGCAAATCCAGATGCAAGCTGCACGCAGACGGCGTAAAAGCACAGCTGCCAGGGGGTGATCCAGCCCACCCCGGGGCCCCATCAGTGGGGGGGGCACACAGCCACAACCGCCCCATAGCCCCCGTGTGTGCGGCAGCTGCTCCATGCGCCTTTGCTTTGCGGAGAGGTGCGGGGACCTTCCCTCGAAGCAGCAGCAGCAGCAGCAAGCGGGAGACGGGAGGGAGACGCTCCACACGGAAAGTGCGGCAACCGACCCCTGGTGCACTGCTTCCGTCTGTCTTGGGAAAGGGGCCGCTCGGAAGGGAGCTGTTTTCCTCCAAGCCAATATCCGCGTCCCAGGTGAACGGATGCGATCCAGGCAGGTGCCAACAGCGCTCTGCTTCCGGCACCTCCTGAAAGCATTTTGTATTTCAGGAAGCCTTCCTGAACTAGCCAGCCGTGGGTTTACTGCTTTGGTTTAAAACATGTTCATTATCATTCTTTTAGCTCCATGCTGGAATAGGGAGTGGTGCAGAAAACTTGGGAAATAAGTAACCGGAAAGTGCGGTGCCCCCAACCTGCTCCGTATCTCTTTATTTGTCTGAAGTGTTTTAGTTCGTTCTTGGGCAGACTGGCCGTCTTCCGGAGCGCCTCACACGCGATCAAGCCGAACCAGTGCTGGGCAGCAGCCAGAGTGCTGGAGTGGGGACCAGGCAGAGCCAGGTTCTAGTCCCAGCTGGGCCATGAAGGTGAATCTGGGCCATGAACAGACTCTCAGCCTGGCCTGCCTCACAGGGTTGTTGTTGTGAGGATAACAATGACACGGAAGGTAACCTTGTACGCCATCTTGGGTTCCTCACTAGAGGAAAAAAGGCAAGGGATGCATATAATTTGATGACGATGACGACAACGGTTTTTCTCGCCTTCCCAGAGTACATTGGGTTGTCATGGTCCCTGTGAGAGCAGGCAGGGCTCAGTCTCTCCTAGAAAAGCACCTCTGTTTCAGCACTGTTTCCTTCTGAAACTCCACCTGGATTTCTAACAGGCTCTCAGGAAACGGCAGAATCACCAACAGCATGTGTGTGTATGTGTGTTAGAGGGAGAGGGAGAGGGAGAGGGAGAGGGAGAGGGAGAGGGAGAGGGGCAGGGCCGGGACAAGACTGTATTGTATCTGTATTCCAGGTGGCTAGCAATCTTATTGCACAGGTTAGAAACAAAATCTTAATTTAAAACATAGCTAAAAACCCATAAACTGAACGTACATTGAGAAAGTAAAAAGTAAAAGCTCACCCATGGTTTCATGGTCCCCAACAGATCAGCAACAGACCAGCTTCCACGCCAAAGGCCTGGCTGAATCAAAACCAATCAAAGCCATCGTTAAACCAAGCAACTCCCAGCACATCCCACCTCCGTCAGCACTGTTTTTCCTCCAAATGGGCAAAGATTTTGACGCATCCTCCAGAGCCAAGTGCTGGCCGAGAAGACTTTTTGCCATGGCACACAGTTTTTGGGGGCGCCGAAAGGGTGCGAGCACCTCTGCAGTGGGGGACTCACTTTCCCAGGCAGGGGACTCACATTCTCACCTGTGCAGCAGTACAACCTGATTGCACCTCCCACCCTAAGGGATGAGATAGCACACCTGGCTGGGCACGCTCCAGGGGCAACTTCCCCTCCATGACGCCAAGGATACGAACTGGCACTTGCACGATCCTTACAAAGACACCTAGCAGGCCAAAAGAAGGCCCACTGATTTCGGTGGGGCTGCCCCATGAACAGGTGCTTGGGTCGGAAGGCTGTGTGATAAAAAGATGGGCATGTGGAGCCTGAGGGCAAATAGCCATCAGATAGAATGGCCTCTCCCCCAGATAAGCCCAGTCTGGCACCGAGATGCTCCGAATGCACCAGCTGCCCCAGGGAGGGCAATTCTTGACCCACCGCAGCTTCCCCATGTGTGGCTGGAAAAATTGCAGCGCTTTTCCTGGCAGATGGGTTAAGACGCTGCTACCATCGCAGGCCCAGACTCAGGAAGCTTCCCTGCTGGAGCTCATCCTGAGTCCAACTGGCTCCCCGTCTCCCAGGCAGAGATGAAATTCTGCTGCCACGGACCAAGCATCATGCATCACTTTATTCCCCGTGCTTTATTCCCCACGCAGATGCGCACACTCCCTTCTCCGGCAGGCACAAGTGCTCTGCAATTTGGGCAGCTCTTCTTTCCTCCCCCCTCCCCCCTCCCCCGTGCTCCTTACTTTGATTTCTCACTTAGAGCCCATAAACCTGTTTACCATTCAACAGCCACTTTGAGCAGTCTTCAGTGAATTGCAGCTGAGATGGGAAGGATGCCTCTCAAACCGGAGAGTGAACCCGCACACCCGCCCCCCTCCCTCCCTCCCTCCCCACCCCTCCCACCTGCCCCGAGCTAAGATTGTGGGGCTTTGTACCTTTGCAGTGCAAGCCAGGGAAAATCTTTTGTTGCAGCTTCTCCTTTTGGAAATAGCTAGCTGGTTCTGGATGCGCAGCCGCCGCCGCAACACAGTGTTCATATTACCCAGTGGGACAGGACCGCAAAAGGGGCGCCGACCAAGAAGCCCTAGCCAGCCATGGCCGCTTTGAAGAGACTCCATTCCGTTTCTCCTTCCCTGCCTCCCCCCCCCCCGCCCATTTCCCCTCACAGATACGACGCGTGCTCAGCTTTCACTGAACTGTTCGGGGGAAGGTGCTCCCCAGCAGTCCCCCCACCTCCAGAAACCGTGCCACCCTTCCGCAAACCTAGGGGTTCCCCATGAGCGTGTGGGTAGCTTCCCCCTTGCCCCTCGGAGGCTCTGCTTTGGCAAGAGTCCTGGTGGGCCGCTGCTCTTTGAGGTGGAGACCCCCTTGCAACTGAGACACTTGAGCCAGCGAGTGCTGGTCCTGAAACGGACCGAGCTAGACATTGTGAGGGATTTGTAGAGGCTGCCCCCTCCACGCACGCACGCACGCACACACTCACAGAGAGAGAGAGAGAGAGAGAGAGAGAGAGAGAGAGAGAGAGAGAGAGAGAGAGAGAGAGAGAGAGAGAGAATCTTTTTCATGCATGTTGCTGGCAATCTCCAGCAAAAGAACCCGAGGTACCAGTTCTGTTTTGCTTTGCATTGTTGCAACTTCTTACTTGACAGCACCGTGGCGATCCAGGCTGGGGGAAGCTGTGTTTTTCCCTTCGACGGCTAGCTATGCCTCGCCTTCCATAGCAACCAAGAGGAAGGGCAGCTGACGGAGTCCGTGGCAGACGGGGGAGCGAAGGGGGCTCGGCCGCACTCCGTCCATCATGGCCTGGAGGGGTGTCTTGCCCCCAGACAAAGGCTGGAGGGAGCGGCTCATTCTGAGAAGGAGCTTCACCTGGGCAGGACTTCTTGTGTGTGTGAGAGGGATGTAAGACTAGCAGGATAAAGAGCAGAAGGAAAAACTGTGCAGCACAGCAGGGCCACTCATCAGCCTTTGCTGAGGCAGGATTTGGGGTGCAGTGTGCCTGCTCTGCCTGCCGCCTTTCTCCTGTGCGTGTTTAGGGACCCCCTTCTTTGCAAGGGTGGGACTGG